CCCATCAACTTTTTTTTTTTTTTTTTCGGTTAGAGTCACGGTAGCGACAGGGCCATTTGCTCCGCGCGATACCGGAATCCCTCCCTCCTTCCGCCTTCGCTCTCCTCCTCCTTCGTCCATCTCTCCCTCCTCTTCTCTCAGTTTTCATCGTTCATTTTTCCCTCCTCCCTCCTCCATTTCTCCCACCTCCTTTCTTCCTCCGCCGCCCATCTCTCCCTCCTCTTCTCTCAGTTTTCGTTTGTTCATTTTTCCCTCCTCCCTCCTCCATTTCTCCCACCTCCTTTCTTCCTCCTTTCTCCATCATCCTCTCTCTCTCTCTCTCTCTCTCTCTCTCTCTCTCTCTCTCTCTCTCTCTCTCTCTCTCTCTCTCCTAGTCCACCATCCTGTGTTATCGTCACGGTAGCGACAGGGCCATTTGCTCCGTACGATACCGGAATCCCTCCCTCCTCCTTCCGCCCTTGCTCTCCTCCTCCTTCGTCCATCTCTCCCTCCTCTTCTCTCAGTTTTCGTTCATTCATTTTTCCCTCCTCCCTCCTCCATTTCTCCCACCTCCTTTCTTCCTCCTTTCTCCATCATCCTTTCTCCCTCCTCCTTCCTCCCTCTCTCTCCTACTCCTTCGTCCATCTCTCCCTCCTTTTCTCTCGGTTTTCATTCGTTCATCTTTCCCTCCTCCCTCCTCCATTTCTCCTTCCTCCCTTTCTTCCATCTTTCTCCACCATCCTTTCTGCCTCCCCTTTTCTCTCTGTTCCTCCCTCCTCCTTCGTCCGTCCTCCCTCCTCCCTCCTCCCTCCTCCCTCCTCCTTTCTCTCTCCTCCTTCCTCCTCCCTCCCTCCTTCCATTTTTTTTTTTTTTTTTTTTTGGCCTACTGGAAACCTGGAACGTTGCACAACAGGGGGGGATTAGCGGGCATTTGCAATTTTTTTTTCCCCCTCCACTAGGATAGCCGTTTCCGCTATCCGATTTTTTCGTCTGTTTTTTTTTTTTTTTTTTTTTTTTTTTTTTTTTTTTTTTTTTTTTTTTTTTTTTTTTGGTATGCACGTTGAAGAGGGGGGGGGGGGACGAAGAAGAAGGGAGAGATGTTGCACAGTCGAGGTGGATTAGAGGGGAGAGAGTGGAGGGGGACGAGGGGAAAGAGTTGTCCTTCGAGGGGCTGACCTGCGATTGACGTTGTGGCCATCCCCGTGATGCAGGCGACACCGGCAATGGCACCCACTCATCTGAAGCAGCTGATTGAGGACTTGAAGCAGCACTTCAGGGCCGATGGTCCAGCAGGGAGGAACCCAGGAGAAGGGTCCAAACATTGGGTGTGCAGGTACTGCGAGACCCGATTCGACGGGACAGCATCAAATCTGAGAAACCACTTCCTGAAGAGGTGCAGCCTGGACCTCCTAACTAGACCGTTGTCCGTTGAGGAGAGGGCGAGAAGGGCGGAGGGGATTCGCATGGGGAAGAGCCTCGCAGGGCTCATTGAAAGGGGGGGGAGAAGTTCTACACCAGCAAGCAACCTGCCATCTGCCAACAGTCTGGTCATCAGAGAGATGGGTGCTGGCAGTGGAACGGCTGATGCTGCCAGTGGCGGCTTCCGGGGAGTCCGCCCCTGCAGCGCCCCGAACAGGTCGGCCAATGAGGCAGACACTTATCGAGGACGCGGACAACATCATTTACTCGTAATGAGCACACAAGCCGCTTCCTCGATAACTACCTCTTCTGCACGAACCAACCCTTCAGTCTCGTTGACAACGAGTACTTCCTCGAGTTCATAGACACGGTGAAGAAGGCGCATCCTTCATGGTTGGCGTACCACACGGACGAGGCACGGACGAAGAGGCTGGACGGCGCGTTCAGAAGGACGACAGCAGATGTGACTGCCATGATCACGAAGTGGCAGGCCACAGACTGCATGCTTCAGATGGATGGTCGGTCTGATAGATGCAACCGCCCTCATCTGAATGTGATGGTATCGTCCCCAATAGGGACTGTTTTCCGGACATCAGAGTGCATGGAGGGGAGAGACAAAGATGCAGCGGCGTATTTCAAAATCCTTGACGGAGTCATCAAGGAGATTGGGCCAAACGCGGTGGCTGGCGTTGTCATGGACAACGCAAGAGTGTGTGTGAAGGCGGGTAAGATGGTGGAGGCTGCTTACCCTCAGATTTTTTTGTGTCAGCTGCACAGTGCATATGCCCTCGATTTACCACTAGAGGACATGTACAAGCAGCTTGGTTGGCTGGCGGCGGTCGTCGACGCCGGGAATGCAGTCGGCAAATTTTTTACGAATGTGGATAAGGCGATGCGCTTTGTACGACAAATTCTCGCCGAATTTGAAGTTAAAGCGGTCGGCGGTCACCCGATTCGCCACAAGTCATGACATGTTGGCTTCATTGCGGAGAGGGAGGAATGCACTGGAGAAGTGCGTCTGTGACACAGCGTGGGTGGACAAGATGGAGAGGGCAGATCAGCTCGCCGCTTTCCGTGAGGTCACCTCCATCGTGCCGGGACGGGACGGGTTTTGGGACAAGGTTGACAAGGCCCTCGCAGTGATGACTCCTGTTGTGGAGCTGTTGCGCGTGGTTGATGGGCCAGGCGCGGTAATGTCAAAGGTCTATTTCAAGATGGATGCGCTCGTCGAGAGAATGTGTGGCCTCGACTGTGTCACCCCGGGTGAGAAGGCCGACATTGAGGACATTCTGATGCATCGGTGGTCCTTCATGACGAGCGAGCTGCACTGCGCGACTGGTTTCCTTGATCCGGAGTTCCGACACAGTGCATTGTCACGGTGGGACCGGGAGCTTCGTGCGGGCTTCAACATTTGGCTGTACTCGTGGGCACCGAAAGAAAGAGCCATCCTCGACGAACTGAGCCGGAAAGTCGATATGTGGACCAAGCTAGAGGGGACATTCATATCACAAGAGGCAGCGGAGGCAGCGCGTGTGAAACCGGCGGCCTTGTGGTGGGAAGCATTTGGGGGGAAGTTGAACCTTTTGCAGCCGCAAGCTGTCAAATTACATGGCCAAGCAAGCTCGTTCGCTGCATGCGAGCGGAATTGGAGCTTGCATGAACTCATTTTTGGAAGACGGTGCACAAAGCTCATGCCGGAGAGACTGTCAAAGCTGGTGTTCAACAACTGGAACACCCAATTGATCCGGAGTTACACCCGCGGCGGCAAGGAGGAGGTCCACATCCCTTGGGAGTATGACCGACCGGTGGAGGCAGAAGTTGACGAGTGGTATAACACGTCGGTGGCGACGGCGGTGTCCAATGACGATGACACAGCAGACACGCCCGATGACGCGGAGGTGGAAGAGGAGGATGGAGACGAGCCACTTATGCGAACTTGGCTGTGAAATGACGAGAGGGATGACAAAGAGTGTGGGGCAGAGGACATAGCCCTCATGGGCTCCAGGGAAAAGGACTGGCATGAGTGCACAAAACCTGGCCGCTATAGGGAACGAGAGCTGCGGAGGAAATCCGGCCATTCGCAACCCTTACCGTCGGTGTTGTTCACGGAAGAGGAACGGGCACAATTATTGCAGGCGAGCCGCCGGAACATGGGTGCACCGTGCAGGGGATGCGTCCACCAGCAGAAAACGTGGGAAAAAGAGAGCGCAATGAGAGGACGTGGAGGAGGTGGTTCCAATGGCGAAGCGGACCAAGGGCCGAAACGCAAGAGGGGCCGACCATCGAACGTGGAGCTGGAAGACCCAGATAGCAGAAGCGAAGGCCGCAAAAGCAGCTGCTGCAGCAGCAGCAGCGAGAAGTGCAGCTGCCAGAAAAGGGAGGAAGAAAAAGGCCCGCAGCAATGTCATTGACGATGACAAAAGCGGCGACGATGCGGCGGCAGCAGTTCACAATGATGCAGCAGCAGCGAGCGATGAGGAGGCAGCAGCACCTTCGTCGACATCCTCATCTTCCTCGTCTGACGATGAGGATGCCAACGGGAGCGGGGGCGGAGTCCATGGAACACAATGAATGAGACAGGGACAGCACGGGTGAGAGTTCAGAGGAAAGCGAGGGGCAATCCGGGGGGGAAGGGGAAGGAGAGAGCGGGGAGGAGTAATAGAGAGCATCAGAGCTCACTCCTTCTGCAAGCTTTGAGACTACAAAGTTTGGTTTTCAATTTCAGAACTTTGAACTTTCTGAACTTTGCCAACTTCGCATTTCTGAAGCTATGAACTTTGTCAAGCCTTTTTTTTTTTTTTCGCCTTCTTTACTTGCGCATGTTGTCTGCTTTTTACGGGGTCGTGGTTGTTCTTACCACCTGCAGGTACGTATTGGCAACCTCCTCAATCCGCATTTTGGACCTCCATTTGTAGGAATTCCATAATCCCTCCCTTTTAATTTCAAATTTGCCTGTCTGCTTGTGTGTGTGTGTGTGTGTGTGAGAGAGAGATAGAGTGTGTGTGTGTGTGTGTGTGTGCATGTGTGAGAGAGAGATAGAGAGGGAACCCCTGCTTTCTGGTCAAATCATCTGGGGGAGCACACAAAGGCTGGTTTCTGGCTAGGCTATGTGCAACACAGCAGAGGGAGGCCCAAAAAAAAAAAAAAGTTCAAAAAACTATCTGGCGCACCATCCCCAGGAATGGACCGCAGGTGCGCGCGCACCAGCGCATGCGCACTCGACATGTGTGCATGGTGCATGGCGCATGCAGGTGCGCGATGCGCACGCACCTGCCGCGTGCACATGGCGCATGGCGCAGCGCATAAATGCGCCCCAAGTATGGTTGTCGCCCTTGGTTTCCCGGTGGTGCCCAGGTCCCATATCCACTCCTTTGGGTCAAATTCTAGGTCCTCGATGATGAGTTCCGGCTGGAACATGAGCCAGGGTTTCCTGTGAGAGACTCTGACCTTCCTTAGCAAGAAGCCTTGGGGTACACCTTCCATTTGTTCTTGCAGCTCCCCTTTTACTGTGCCTCCTACATACAAGGCTGTCCATGTTGATTGTGGTTGAGTGGCAGCTGCCCACATCCCCGTGTGCCTTCACGACCCACTTGCACGTTATTTCAGGAGGCATAGTAAAAGGGAAGGTATGCTCCTGTGCATTTCTCTTAAACCACCAGTACACGGCCTCAGCCTTGCAGCAAAATAACTTGTCGCCACAAGAAGTAAAAGGTGGGCTCGGGGCAGGGTCGGAGCGTCAGAAGGTTTTCAATTTTTTGGGCCCATGTCAAATCCGTATGTCCCAAAAAAAAAAACAAGCTTTGGTCGTGATTGCAGTTGGATACACTTTTTGGAGTACTGCCCTCAGTGAGGGCACTTCGGCAGAACGAGGAACACGGGGAACACGACTGTCAGACTCACAAAAGAAGAACCAAAAAAAAAAAAGCCCCAAAAAACAAAACAAGCTTTGGCCGTGATTGCAGTTGGATCCCCTTTTTGGAGTACTGCCCTCAGCAAGGAACACAGGGAGCACGACTGTCAGACTCACAAAAAACGAAAGAAAGAAAAAAAGAAAAAAGAAAAAAAAGCCAACAAAGCTTTGGCCGTGAAAGTCGTTGGATGCATTTCAACGGCGCTGGTGTGAGTATGCCCTCACCGAGGGCGTTTTGAGCAAGAGGAATATGCGCTGCCTTGCTGGCAGAGAAAGGAAGCAAAAAACAAAAGGAGAAAAAAAAAAAAACAGCAATGTTTCCCTCTCCCCGTAATAGTGGTCAGATGCATTCTGGAAAGTGATCGTTTGAGTACGGCCTCCATGACGACCTTCCACGACATCATTGATCTCTGGCATTTTTTCCCTTTTTTTTTTCCCTTCAGGTAGACCGCCGGCACCGGTGCCACTTCCGAAATTCCCACTGCAGGTACCCTCATGCAGAAGGCTCGGAAAATAGCGGCGCGCAGTGGGCAGGTAGGTTCGGGATTTTAGGTGCGGGTGTACAGGTGGTTTAAGGCCTTCATACTCCTGTTCATTTCACTTCAGATCTTCATCTTATACTCAGTCTTTGTGAACGGCCTACTTGCACATTATTTCAAATCTGCCAAGACAGACAGCTAGCAAGACCGGAATGTGTGTGTGTGTGTGTGTTTTAGATTTTTCCCACAACAGCCCCAATTTCACCCAGGTGAATAGATTCAGAATCAAAGCAGTCTTTGTCCTATTGCAGACAACGAGAGCATTTGAGATGTTCATTGTTCAACATATTAAAGCAAATTTACAATTAGACAGTTTTTTGGTTGTCCTTGGGGTACCCCTTTCATTGTTCTTGCAGTTCCCCTTTTACTATAATGCCTCTTACGCACAAGGCTGCCCACATTGATTGTGGTTGAGCGGCAGCTGCCCACATCCCTGTGTGCCTTCACAGCCCACTTGCACGTTATTTCAGGAGGCAGAGTAAAAGGGAAGGTATGCTCCAGTGCATCTCTTCAGAGCTTCATACTCCTGTTCATTTCACTTCAGATCTTCAGCTTATACAGTCTTTGTGTCCGTCCTTCATCTTCATACTTCCGTTCATTTCACTTCTGATCTTCATATCGTCTATTTTCTTAATGATGCTCATTCGTATGTATTTGCTAGTAGTACAAAGGGAGTGGAGGGGAGGGTGGAGGGTAAGGGATAGAAGGCGGAGTTCTGTAGGAGTATGGGGCAGGGGAGGTAGGGGCAACGGGAAGGAAAGAAATATGTGGAGGGCAGGATAGAGTATGACATGCAAAGAGCAGGGGAAAGGTGTATGACGGGTTTCACAGATTTCTAAATACTCGCCGCTGAAGCAGACTACTCTAGCAAAAAAAGAAAAAAGAAAAAAAAAAACAGCAACACTAACTATGGCGAGTGGCCACCCCTACAGCGGTTCGGGTGTGGGCTATGTGTGTGAGAGAGAGAGAGAGCAGGGGGGAAGAAGGGGGGGGAGGGGGGTGTTGAAGTGGGAAAGGGATGTCAATCCTCTGGAGTCTCACCCATGGAAAAAGAAATGACATAACTCCGCTCCCGACAAGGGAAGAGAAAAATGAGGATATGACTGCACATGGAATCCCTGCACAGAGACAAGGGAATATAAGATTCTGTGAGTGAAACTGCACTCGACACCAGGAAATGGAGACGACCCATAACCCGCACTCAATACCAGTCGACCAAGTAATGACATTTGGAAAACAATTTCGGGAGAAGGAATTGGTGGCTTCACAGCGTCGCCGCTCCATCGCTCGCCAGGTATGAAACAGACAAAAAATGGCGATTATCTCATGTTTCCACGTTCTTACGGGAGACTCCGCATTCAATATTTGGTGAGCGCACTTATACATAGCACGGCTCATATAAGGAGGAAAGAATATGCCCTTTTTTTTTTCCTCGTTTTTTGAAAAAATCTGATCATAACAGCTCTGACGAGTCTGACCGATGAGAAAAGGCATTAATGATTACTCACTGCCTGCTGCACTACAGGGAGCTGCCTGGTGCTGAACGCCTCGGCCACCTTTTTCTCATCTTTCACCCCACCCCCACCCCCTCCACCCCACCCTCCCCTCCCGACATCCTCTCTAGGCCAATGTTCTGGAATAAAAAGGGAGAGAGAACCATGAGGCCCTCTTCCATTTATTTCTTTTTTCAGATTCTTCGTTGTTTTCTGAGGCGAATATTTTCAACGCTGAAACGGATAAAAAGGTGTGCAACGATGCGAGAAGCATGAGATGACATGGGAGAAGGAGAGTAAGGTGGATGAGAGAGTGTTTGGCTTGACAGGAACAAAAAGGAGAGGGAGGTGGTGGGCGGAATTGGGGAAAGGAGAGGTGGGCGGCATGGGAAGGACAAGTTCATCGTACCGAATCCAAGGAAGTAGGCCCAATAGGTTTCAAAGAACCAAAGTCTTCTGTTAAGGGTCCATCCCAAGAGAGCCCATTTATAACTGAAGACATAAAAAATGAGGACAAGTTCAACGTAACGATATCAAACACATATAAAGCAGCAAGCAGCCAATCAGGCAAACAAATAGAGTTGGGCCTACCGTCTTCACCCGAATACAACGTACGGCCATTATAGCTGTATGCATTTGGGGCAACTTTGAGTCTAGATGCAGCAATAATGACCGTACGTATTCGGGTGAAGCCAGTAAGTAAGATTCATATTCTTCAATTTCTTAGCAACAGGAACGGAAACCTTGGCAGTCCAGTTAGGAGTTCTTTTTTCTTTTTCTTTTTTTTCTTTTTTCTTTTTTTGACAAAAAACGGACCCTTAATACCTTATTCTTTATTCTTATTCACAAACGTTCTTCTTTTTTTTTTTCTTTTTCTTTTTTCAAGGTCAACGACCCTCGGTAATTCAATAATAAAAAAATTCAGTATTTAAAAAAAAAAACTATTTTACTCTTCTGCTTCATCTGCTTCGAGTGGAGTCCAAACTCGGGTCTGTATATTTCCACAATTCAAGTCAGGCGTGTACCAAATTAGCTTGGCTAGTTGTTTTTTATTCACAGGTTTTGCAATCCCTCCACTCACTCACTCACTCACTCGCTCACACAATCAACCAGTCAATCAACCAATCAAGCAATCAATCAATCAATCAATCAATCCAGTGACTCCAGAATAAAACGGGAAATTGCATAATGGTTTGCCGTTCCAACTTCCAAGGGCATACTCACTAAGACAAGGACGTTCCGATTCATTTAGAAACCTTTGTGTGAGCATGCTCTGACAACGTCCAGATGCGTCTGTACGTAGCACTGTGTACTTCAAGAAACCAGATGCATTTAGAAACCTTTGTGTGAGCATGCTCTGACAACGAACGACAGATTGAGAGGTCTGACATCTCTCTCTCTCTCTCTCTCTCTCTCTCTCTCTCTCTCTCTCTCTCTCTCTCTCTCTCTCTCTCTCTCTCTCTCTCTCTCTCTCTCTCACAGCAGATGGTATTCACCAAATCACCAGCTGTACTAACTCGTCAATTCTCTCTCAGAGATACTAATACTGGTGTAGAGTTGGGAAACGAATAAGAAGAGGGCAAAGACAGATCTGCCACATGCACAATCTGCCACGTGGCACTCGCATTTCCAGGCTTTCCGCTCCGACTCTGCATACATACTAATCACATTTCAAACTTTTGACTGAATTGGCAGATAGGGAAATATATCCAAGAACTGGCAGCCCTTCCCTCCCACCATACTTTACGGAGTACGAGTTCGGAGAGTACCAGGCTAATGGATCAGCGTATTCAGCACTCGACAAGCACGCTCGTCATCGGCGCTGTCTTAAATATATATGACCCCAATTAAGACCCAACCTGGATGTAACGGACGCAAATTACCTCCAGAAATAAGTAAAAAGTCCTACTGTGAGTATGCCCTTATAATGGAAGAAACCATAAGATCTTTACTTTTCGAGAGGTGGAAGCATGGAAGGGGGGGAGCGGGAGTGGTTGCCGGGGACGGACTATCAGGCTGATGAGTCATCAGACAGGTCAGGTTGGAGAGTCAGATAACGTTGACACAGCTTGGTCTTTATCTCACATATATATATATATGCAAGGAATATGAGTGTGAGCGATATACATAAAACCAAGTTGCGAAATCACACAGCTGAGCAAGTAGTAGTATCCCAAGTAGAGAGTACAAATACACCGAGAAAACCATCCATAAAGAGCAATACAATGAAGTATTGAGCCAATCTCCAATCCCGTAGGTCACACCAACACAGTATCCAGAGTTGCTCTCTCTGTCTGGCGCACAGCGCCCAGCCTACTCTATCATACTATCCTACGCTACAGCTGGTTCACACAACAGGATCACTTCGGCTCACGAAGACCAATGTACATGACTGTCCACACCATCGGCGACCTCTCTTCATGTAACAGGTACGTATCTCGTCACCCTCAATCAGACCTTGATTATCCCACACAGCGCCTCACTCCCTGAGGACCACCCGATCATCCGCTGTACCCCCTGGCGCCTAGCAGCCCGGCTATGGCCGCCTGCGCCCCGCTGCCCTGCAGCGCCCCACTTCACCTCTCGCGCCCCGTCAGCGCCCTTGGCAGCAGCGCAGCATCAAGCGAGAGCGCAGCAGCACTGGCCAGAATGCCTGGCCTGCGCTGCCTCACTTCCTTTATGGAAGTGGCAGCCTGCTGGATGCTGCGTGTGGCCTGGCTGGAAGCTTCCAGTAGCTTCCGGTTGGGCCTCAGACCCCGTGCCCAGGCCGAGACGTACAGTTGAGGGCCTGGGCCCTTTACAGTTGGGCGCGGCCTGAGTCTCCGGACATGGGCTGTTAGCTGCATCTGCGCAGGGCCCCCAGGTAGATGCGTCGTCTGTACTGCTTTTCCAAAGGCCGACGGCCTGCTTCTCAATGTATCGGCCCTGCTTTGTGTGTAGGTGCCCAGGCACAACTTTCGTGACCTGGGCCAACTGTACGACGCAGCTTAGTGAGGCTCTCGCATTCACTCAACCAACTGACGCGCTGCAAGAGCCTGAATACCCACATATGGAAATGTCGAATTTTGGCCTGTGACGAATATTCAGGCCCGCCTTCACTTAGGGCGGGCACTTGGCTTGCTGGGGCCTTAGCCCAGAACATGCGATGTCTGATAGGGCCCCTTGAGGGCTCGTTCCTCACATATATTTATATATATATCGTCATATATCGTCAAATAGAACTGCCCGGTAAACCGTAGGCAGAGAGGGAGAAGAGGACAACAAACGAGGGGCTGTGACAAACTGTTTCGTCGGAGTTTCACCGACTCATCAGGAGGCTGAACCCTCAACAGTCTGTAGA